GCAGTAAACTAGTGCGAACTTGGAGCTGTGTGTACAATCACCAACGCTGAAGAAGAACAGACTAAATTGCTGAGGGGTCAGAGGGCAGAGGTCTCTGACCTTCCACCCATCAGCACTGAAAGCAAGGTGCTCTCAGCCTGTTCCTTCATGCTGCAGGGACCTGTGGTGACAGGCAGTCTTCTGTTATGGGGCCCCTGGTTTGCTGGCTGCGTGGCAAGTGCGATAGTTACCAGAAACACGGGTGATCTCTTTTATCCCCAATATTATGCAGCTACTCTACCGAAGAACCCACCTCCTAAGAGGGCCACAGAAATGCAGAGCAAAGTGTAAGGCAGAGAAGAATGAAAGGAAAGTAGTTTGTGAACTCAAGATTCCTGAGACTAGGAATCTAAGCAGATCTTTCTTCAGCCAAGTATGAGGAAATAGGCAAGAGATGTGTTCTTAACTTACTTAGTAGGAATTAAGTAAGCAGGTAGAATTACTGCTCTTTTGGTATCTAGCAAAGTTCATAATAGAACAGGGTGGAACAGGTAAGTGAAACCTGGGCATGGAAAATGTTGGCTTTGGCCCTAGCGAGTTTGGCTCAGTGGATAGAGCGAGAGCGTCGGCCTGTGGACTGAAGGGTCCCAGGTTCGATTCCGGTCAAGGGCACATGTCTGGGTTGTGGGCTCAATCCCCAGTAGTGGGTGTGCAGGAGGCAGCCAATCAATGATTCTCTCATCATTGATGTTTCAATCTCTCTCCCTTCCTCTCTGAAATCAATAAAAATATGTTTTTGTTTTTGTTCTTTTTTTAAAAGAGAAAATGTTGGCTTTGGGTAGCTTGGCAGAATCACTCAATTACTCTCAGGGAGAGTATCTTAATGACCTATGTCATAATTGCATTTACCTTCAGCATGCTAAATTGTGCCTTTATAAGTCCTCCTGCTTGCTTACTGAGAAGCTCCAAACCTTTCTGGTGGTTCCCTGAGAAAGGTAGCCAGCCACACATGTTAGGAAACATCTTCATGGTGTATTTAAAAAGTGCTACTTATTTTGTATAGATTTCTACAACCATGCTTTATATGTGAAATAATCTGTGTCAGGGTTATTAACTCTGTTTCGCTTCTTATTTTAGACCACAAGGCTCACCTCAGACCTAATTTATGAACAGGTTGTGTTGTTTTTTGGGTGTTTTTTTTGCAAAGGACATTGCCAATTATAACAATTTTGGCACAGAAAACCTAGTCACATATCCATGAGATGGGGAAAAAATTGCAAGATAACATCTAGAGAAATATAAATGTGGAGGTGGGAAAAGAAAAAAAATGGTGCAATGTGATCTTAAGAAATTTGAAATTTCTCAACTATGTGGCAAACATTCTTCATTTTAAGTTATTGTAAAAGTCAAGGACAAGGTTCTGAAGGAGAAATATGTTCCAAGTGATGGAAAGAAGGAAACATAAGAGAATCTGTAAGCAGAAATGCCTTCACTAGTGTATAAGTAACATGCCTAAGAACTCAAAGATAGTTAAATTCACATATAAAAATGGGCTGCTAACTTTCCACATTAGTTAGGGAAAAATAAACTATACCAGGATGGGATAAAGGGATTACACCTAGAGCTGGAAAAATAGTGGTTCTTTTTTTAAAAAAATATATTTTTTATTGTTGATAGTATTACAGATATCTCTCATTTTCTCCCCCTGCCCCCTCTTCCTCTAAAATAGTGCTTCTTGATTGGCTAGCATACATTCATATATTAACCCTTCAACAAGTCTGTATTAAGCACCTATGCTATGTCAGGCATGGTACCATATACTGAACTATAAAAATGGATGAGAGCCCCAGCCGGTTTGGCTTAGTGGATAGAGCCTCGGCCTGAGGACTGACGGGTCCTGGTTCCATTCTGGTCAAGGGCATGTACCTGGGTTGCAGGCTCCTCCCCGGCCCGGGCCCTGGTCGAGGCGTGTGCAAGAGGCAACCAATTGATGTGTTTCTCTCACATTGATGTTTCACTCTGTCTCTTCCTCTCTCTCTAAAGATCAATGGAAAAATATCCTCTGGGGAGGATTTAAAAAATGGATGAGATTTGTACCTGATCTTTAGACAAGCACACTCTCTTAGGGGAGGTAGAAATGTAAATAGATCCCTGAAATGTATTCACCTAATTCAAATATAATTCAGATATATTTTTTGGTATGCTTTTACTTTCCCTTTCAGTTTCTGTCTGTCCTCAAGGCCTTGTTCCCAGCTAGCTGTTAAAATCCTCCTCAGGATAATAACTGCTGATGAAGGTGTGAAGTGCTATTAATAGGGAATTCTTTTTTTTTTTTTTAAGGGGGGGCGGGGAGACCAGGAGTGGGTTGGAAGAGTTTAATGGGGAAAAAAGGATGGCCTATGTCAACAATACAACAATAAAGATTTAAAAAAATATATGGGGTTTTATTCCATTGTATACTAGTATATGTACCACTTCTTCTTTATCCACTCATCTACTGATGGACACTTAGGTTGCTTCCAAATCTTGGCTATTGCAAATAATGCTTCAATGAACATATGAATATATATGTCTTATTATTTTTTTTTAAATGTGTATGTCTTTTAAATGGTGTTTTGGGTTTCTTTGGATAAATACCCAGAAGTGGAATTGCTGGGTTCTTTCTTGTCTCTTGTTATAGTGTTTGTTTTAAAGTCTATTTGTCAGATATAAGTATTGCTACTATAGCTTCTTTTTTTCCATGTCCATTTTCTTATTTCTTTTTTTAAAAATATATTTTTATTGATTTTTTTTTTTAGAGAGAGGAAGGGGGAAGAGAGAGAGAGAGAGAGAGAAAAACATCGATTGGCTGTGTCCTGCCCGGGCAAGTGCCCTGACCTGGAATTGAACCAGCAACTTCTTGGTGCATGGGCAATTTCCATTTTCATGAACTATCTTTTTCCATCCTTTACTTCCAGTCTGTGTGTGTCTATTGATCTAAAGTGAGTCTCTTGTAGACACCATACATAAGGATCTTGTTTTGTTACCCATTTGTAACCGGAACCCAAGTTTGGCTGCCTGCCACCAGGAAAACCAAATTCGTAAAACAGATGCTGGTGAAGAAGGAAAGAGGTTTATTCAAATGCAGGCATCTCGAGAAGATGGACTCTTGTCACAAAGTCCATCTCAACATCTCAGTGCAAGCAGAGGTTTTTATAAGGCGGGAGAGGGAAAGCAGAACAAAGAGTGGGGTTGAAAAGTTCTCTACATGCAGGCCAGCATAGTCCATTCTGATGAGGATCTTGAAACTGGTTATGTGATGGTCTGGTGTGTATCATCCTGGTCTTCATCATCCTGGTTCTATGGTTGAAGGTCAGTAAATCTCCTGGAACTGGGATGACTGACGGTCTGGGTTGCATCTTCTGAAGTTAGTTCCTAGTATTCTTATACAAACATGCTGCTTATCTATAAGTTACATATTAGTCAGAGTCGGCATTTATCGAAACAACATCAAAAGAATGGTGGGGTGGGGTAGGTTACAATTTCCCACTGTTACACATTCAGTCACCATACATCTTTTGATTGAAGTATTTAATCTATTTGCATTTAAATTAATTGTTGATAGATATGTATTTAATGCCATTTTATTATTCATATTTTTATCTTTCTTCTTCTTTTTCTTTAAGAAGACCCTTTCAAATTTCTTGTGATACTAGTTTGATGGTGGTGAACTCAGTAGTTATTCTTGCCTGGAAAGCTCTTTATCTGTCCTTTGATTCTAAGTGATAGGCAGGAATAAAAACAATAAAATCTTGCCGTCTACAGCAACATAATGAATCTAGAGGGTATTGCGCTGAGTGATATAAGTCAGATAGGAAAAGATAAATGATATGATTTCACTTATATGTGGAATCTAAAAAACAAATTACGTGAACAAGCAAGACAGAAATAGACTCATAGATACAGAGCACATTTTGATGATTGCCAGATGAAAGAGGGGTTGGAGAGGATGGGTGAAAAAGTGAAGGGATTAAAAAGTACAAATCGGTAGTTACAGAATAGTCATGGGGATGTAAAATACAGCACAGGGAATACAGTCAATAATATAGTAATAATTATGTGTGGTGTCAAGTAGCTACTGGAAATATTGGAGGGATTATTTTGTAAATTATGTAAATTTCTAATCACCAGGTTGTACATCTGAAACTAATATAATATTATACATCAACTGTAATTGAAAAGTAAAAAAATTAAATATTTTAAATATGATTTTTGATAGTAAAAGTAATATTTGTTCATTGAAAACAGTTAAGAAAATATAGTTAAATATATAAAAGAAAACAGCAATCACTCATAATCCCAATTTCATTATCCAGCACAAAGTTTGCTCATGTTTTGGTGTTTAGCCATCCATACCTTTTTCTCTGCATTTCTCTCTAGCACTTTTGTTTTCCTACAGAAATAATATGTACATACTGTTTTGTAACTTGTTTTCTCCACTTTATATACCATGGACCTGTTTCCATGTTTATGAACATAGATCTATATTCCCACTTTAAATGGCTACAAGGCATTCCATCATGTGGCTGCATGACAATTTACTTAACTTGAACTCTAACTGAGGTCCTCGACTGCTTTCCTGGCCCTCCTCCAAGCACGTGTATTCAGACGGCCCTCTCAGTTTGATTTTGTGGAATCAGAGGAATCTGTCAGAATTTTAAAAAATGACACAATATTTATTTCAAAGAGCAATTTTAGAAATGAGAGAGGTAAAGGAAAGTGAAATGGAAATGATTGATGAAAGAAATATTTTGCAATTATAACCATTTTATAGTAATTTCTTGCAAATGAGACTTTACCTTTGTATTCTTTTAAACTCTGAAAGTGACTGAAAGACTTAAAATCAAATAATATTACGATACACCTGTTTAGGGTGAAGTATCAAAACTTCTGCAGGAGGACTCTCCACCCCAGAGTTTGTGGACCTATCATAAAGGTACTGAGGGGTCAGTGCTTCCTGGAAAGTTGTTTATTGGGTCAATCAATCAAGGAGAGACTGCACTGACCTGGACCTCAATTGATAAGGAAGTCAGAGTTAAGTTAGGTGTGGCTGAGGAACACTAAACTTGTGCAGGAATGATGACCATGGAATACGAGAGGACTATGGCTGTTCTGAACCTACTCGGTAGGGCTGTGTTGAAGTTTTGAGAATATAGAAGAGGACATGGTAGTCACTGGAGAAGTGGCTAAGATTATGAAAGAGGTCAGGGTTTGGCTGGCCCTAATACAAGGAGAAACTCAAACTGTGGTTTGCAGGGAGAGATGGACGTGGATGTCAGCCTAGGTGCTCCAGAGGACGATGATGGAGGTGATGAAGGTGGCCATGAAAATCAGGTAGAGGAGGAACAGCAGGGTGTCCATCATGTGGCTGAACTGTACCCACAGGCTGGCCAAGTGCTGCTTCTGGGCCTCATCTTCCTGTTGGCCCCTTGTTGACTCAGGGCACCCATTTAACTCTGCCTCTCGGGGGCCTGGCACCTTCCCCACCAACTCCACAGGCTCCTTCAGACCTACAGAGAAAAATAGACTCAGCCATGGGCTGTGAGGATCAACTGGGAGGGAGGGGGGGCAGGGGAGGAGGCTGAAGCAGAGAAATGAAGGTGTTGGAGGAGAAAGTGTGGGCAGTGCTGACTTCCTTACCAGGCAGGTGGGCAGGGGCGAGACCCAGACCCTTGTTTCCCTTCTGGGGTGCAGTGGGACAGCATTTCATTGGGTTGGTGCAGTGCAGAAGCAGGGAATGGAGCCACCGGGGCATAGGTGGGGGCTGAGTGGTGGCCAGGTGTAGCAGGTAGGTGATGAAAATGGTCTCCAGCAGGCTGAGCACCATCAGAGACAGACACAGAGCAAAGTAGACACCTGAAGACAAATGCAATTAACACTAAACGAGGGTGGATCATCTCTACACTTTTCTTAAGCCTCTTTCCCCAAATTCAATATTTCCCCAGAACCCCCTTCCTCCTTAAGTAGAGAGGCAGCCAGTTCTCCAGGTTCCCCTCCCTGTCCTCTGCTGCCTTCTCTTCCCCAGAAAATGGGAGGGGCCATACTGATGAGGGGGGTGCCACTGGCAGGGAGTAACTCATTCATCAGGAGCAGGAAGACGTTGTAGCCCAGCAGAAGGGTTATCTTGAATGGGGCACGGTTCTCGCTTTCTGCAGGCAGGAAGAAGCTGAAGGCATCAATGGCCATCAGAAAACCACTGGGCACCAGAAGGTTTATGACATAGAGGAAGGGCCTGCGCCTGATGGCCACCTGGTGGGGGAGGAGACAGTGTGGAGAATGTGGCAATTACATTGATGCTAAAGGCTCAGTTGCATATTTGACTCTAATCTTTGCTGGTGTGCTGTTTGGCTGGTCATGGGATGGTCTCTTTAAGTAACACATGCCCTCCTACAGAAGTGTCCCCAGTTTGTCTTCTAATTTGCATTTGTGTCCAACCTGCTGGGAATACAACTGTAGATGTTGAGGGGCAAGGAGGGCCCTTTGCACCATCAGATGGTGGCTTTTCCATTGAGGGGGGAGCCCAGCTGCTCCTCCTCTCTGCAAAGCAGAGGTCCTTGGGGATCCTTCTTTAGGACCATCAGGGTATAGGGTGGGGTGGGGAGCAGGTGCTGAACCCCCTAAAGCTTCTTTTTATACCTCAAAAAGCTTTGGATCAAGAGAAAAATCACAGAGCAATTGGGATAGGAAGTCAAAGAGTGTTTCCTGGACTTACATAGAACGTGATCTGGTCATATACATTGCTGCCCACCAACATCTTTAGGGTGGCCTTGTTGATGCCCAGGAGCTCCCACTCTCCCTGGGTCTGAATGACGTCACGAGACGTAGCTGTTATCTCCCACACTTCCTTTTCCATGCCCAGAAGCATGCTGTCCACTGCAAGGGAGCCAGGGCAGCTCAGTCCACAAGTTCCTAAGCCTTCTGCCCACAAAATTCAATTCCTCCCCCACTGAGTTTCTTCAACAAATTTTCCTCTTTGTCTTTTTAAAAGCAGGGCATCAGGATTTTTCAGAAGTGGGTTCCAGGACCAGAAATTCATATGTGTGTGCTGTAGCACTGATTTTGTTGTTGTTGAAAACAAGGATGAGTCAAAGTTGTTATGGGAATTTTGAATGTGACTCAAACGAGAGTCATTCCCATTTTCCTTCTCAATTCCCCAGTTGTATGGTGCTGTTTTAGTGGAATCAATCATGCACAGCTCAACATTTTTATCATTACCTGTATGCCCATTTAATGACTGATATATTCAAATCTGCCCCGTGATACCTGGTGGCATTCAGTCACATTGAGTTAGTGGTTTAAGTGTGTTAGCTATTAAAGTTAAAAGGGTTGAGCTAAAAATTATAGAGGTTCAGTAGCTCAGGGTCAGATATGGTGCAAAGGCCACTTAAGACTAAAGCAGTAGTTTGGTGGCTTAAAAAACAACAACAGGCCCTGACTGATTTGGCTCAATGGATAGAGCGTCAGCCTGCGGACTGAAGGGTCCCAGGTTCGATTCCGGTCAAGGGCATGTACCTTGGTTGCGGGCACATCCCCAATAGGGGGTGTGCAGGAGGCAGTTGATCAATGTTTCTCTCTCATCGATGTTTCTAACTCTCTATCCCTCTCCCTTCCTCTCTGTAAAAAATCAATAAAATATAAAAACAAAACAAAACAAAACAAAAAAACAACAGTTTATTGAGGAATTAAAGCAGTAATTCTTAACTCTGCACACTGGCAAAACCTGGGGAGATACATAGAAAATAACATCACTGCTTGGTAGGTGTGGCTCAGTGGTTGAGTGTTGACCTATGAACCAGGAGGTCACAGTTCGATTCCCTGTCAGAGCCTATGCCTGCGTTGTAGGTTTGATCCCCATTAGGGGGAGTGCAGGAGGCAGCCAATCAATGATTCTCTCTCATCATTGATGTTCTATCTCTCTCTTCCTCTCCTTTCCTCTCTAAAATAAATACAAATATATCTTAAAAGATAAGAGCATCTGGGCCCCACCTGGAACAATGGAATTAGAATCTCTAGGGTGTTGTATAGTTATTGCTATTTTTAAAAGCTTTAATGGGCAGCCAGAATTGGGAAACACTGGTCTAAAACTTTCCCTCATAATACCTACACCACTCATTGTCTTCCTGCGAATCTAAAATAGCTGCCAAAACATGTCTCACTCACCTGTGTAGAGGAAGGAAGTGAAGGTGAAGGTGCAGTTCTGTTGGTCAAAAGGGAAGTAGAAGATGTCCAGGTTACAGATGCTGGTCACCCGCACTGGCCTATCGTACTTGATCCGACCGTCACTGCTGACATACGCGGAGAGACCTGTAGGTGCCCGATCCACATCCATGCTGTTTTTGAGAGGAGGAGAGGTGGGGGCTGTGGGGGCCTTAATCAGCCGGTGTCTCCCTTTCTTCCCAGGTCTTCCCCTACTGTGTTCTCCTTTTGGGTTCTTTCTCTAACGTCACTCTATGTTGCCTATGCTACTCCTCATGTGTTTTGTGGGAGTCAGTGAATTGTGGGAGTCAATGAATGGAGGCTGTGCCCCTGTCTGAATCTTTTGGTGTCCCTGTGCCCTGCACTTGACCCTAGGCTGTTCTTTTAAGATGGGCTTCGTACAGGCTTTTCCCAGCCCAGATACGCACGATTCTACAATGAAGATATCTGGAAGCCACAGGTTTTCTGCTGATACAGTGAGCTTATTGACTTCGACACACTCTTCTGGGTTCCAGCTGATGAAAGGATTGTCCCACATCTACAGGCAGGGCAGTGGGAAACAGAGGTCCAATCAGCCTCCCCCATTCTTCTTTAAACTCTGATCCTCTCACACCAGTCATGTCCCTACTAACCCATTCCTACCTCCTCCTCTTTATCTAGCCAGCTGTCATTGGCAAAATACCCCACAATGGCCCTTTTTCCAGGCAGTCCTTAAATATAGCCTAATATCACCTAGACCCAGGAACACACCAATAGACTGGCTTACAACCACTTGCCCATTTTCTTCGGTCACCATTTCTCCCTTCCTAAGATGCTCAGGGAGATTCGTGTCCCCACTGTTCTAAATGGAGTTATTTGGTCTCAGAAAGATTTATACACTGACTAGAGGTTTGGACTGGAAAACCTTAAGGTAACTCCTCAAAAATAACTTATAAATGGAAGTGGGAAGGGGATAGTTGAATCTGCCTTACCAAATTAATCCACAGGAATGACGTCAGAAGCTGGAGCCGTACATCCTGGTGAAGAAATTCCCACCCAGGACCATTAGTGCATTAATGCAAAAAAGTCTTGCCCTGCTCCCAGGTCATAGTCTTAATAATATTGACTAATGTATTGGGCCAGGCATAGTTCTAAATGTTGGACTGTCTTTTCCTTACTTGCCTCCTCTTGTATCTAGGTACCATTCAGGTTTTAATCAACAGACAGATCACTTCCTTTTAGAGCATTCACAAAGAACAGGACTCACGGACAAATCATTCCTGAAAAAAATACCACTGCAGCTTTCTTCTTTATGTTTCCCCATCTTATAGGAAACCCCTCTATTTATACGAAATCCATTCAGAGTACCTATTGTCCGCCACTAGACCAGTACAATGCTGGGTGGACAGGACAGAGGATCCTTGTTTCCCATTAGAAGCTATGGAAAGTGGGGACCAGGTCTCACCACTTCCAGGATGGCAGACAAGGTGAAGGAGATGTTGACATGAGTGGGGATGCTGTAGTTGATGACTGGACGAAAGGCCTTTCTGTCAAACACTGCTTGGAAGGCAGCAGGATCCACCCCATATTGGTCAAACCCTGAGCAATTGATGGTGAAAGTGTCGGCTCTTCCTGTAGAAAGCAGAGACTCTGTGAGAGAGGGTCTCCACGGAGCCTCTTTGCAGAGAGAGAAAGCAGGGGACATACTGGGAGAAGCAGGTGAACCCTCCTTCCTGTACCAAAACCTCCCAAGGCCAAGCCCTTCCTGCCAGGGTCAGAGGATGAGCTGGTCTGGTAGGCAAATGGTGGAAGTCTATGTGGTGAGCTGAGTCAGGGCTCTATCCTCATTCCCATTGTTTCATCCTCATGCAAAACCTGTCCAAATCTATATGCAAACCAGCCTTGCTGCAATGGCAGCCACTTTAAGGAGTCTTAGTGGACCCATCACAATGTTCTTGGGCCCACCGAGTAGACTGCTGAGCACTGCCCTAAAACGGGTAGTTAGTCTGTTCTGATGTATTTCTCATTTGCATTTCTTCCTCAGGGACTTCTGCAAGAACAGATGTATCAAAAAGATAAGAGAAGCAAACAACAGCACTTACTAGTACTAAGTGGATGTGGGAAATATGTAAGGTATTCTGAATGGATGTTTACCTTGGTGCTATGCATTTTTATGTTGCTTATCTCAGATTTAGTGACCCCAGATATGTTGGGGTTTATTTCCAACATTGGAATTATTAGGTGATACCACTGAGCATATACTATGTGCTGATCACATAGTGAGGCCTGTGTGGTGGTGTCCCTTGGCCATGGCCAGGGAGCCGTCTGGGTAGTACCTGAGCAGAATCTTTGCCCCATTGTCACCTTTGTTTGTTCTTTTTCTCTGCCTGCTCCTCTTCATCTCCATTTCTTTCCATACTGTTGAAGCTATGTACCCTGACTTGGAACAAATATTCCCCAGTGGAAGCAAAGTATCCACTTCCTTTTGCCTCAGATTGTTCCCCACCCTCCCTTGATGTTTCACTTACTCCTTCAGGGCATGTTTAAAATTAGCATCTACTCTTTTCATAGATACCATATCAAAGGAAAAAGAGATAGGGAGAGTGGGATGACACACGGTGGAAGGAGCTCTGGGGTCAGTGAAAAGATGGCATTGGAGAGATGGTGAAATGGGACAGCTTGGTAGATCCCTATGCAGGTAGGAATAGAGGAAGGCTGTGCCCTGATCAGTGGATTGTCTTTCTGTCACCAAAAGGAAATCAAGACACAGACATTATGGAAGAAATATTTAACATCTTAATTCTGAATGTTCTCCAAATACTAGAGGGGAATTCTTAGATGTCCTTCAGAACCACACTCTGGTCTTCCCTGTTCTTGCCCCATCTTACCTTGAAGCAGAAGGCTGACCGTGAGGTAGAAGAGGAGTTCCCCCCCAGGGGGCCACTCCCCTTCCATCTTCTCTTCTGGACTCTTCTCTGGGGACTCACCAGGAGCTCCCAAATCCCTTGGGCTTAAAGGAGCTCAGACCACACCTTGGATCCTGGTTTTGAATACTGCTTATGACCACTCCCTGGTGAGAGGCTGTGCCCAGAGAGGTCACAGCAAAGTGTTCTGCTTTGCCCTTGTCCAGGTATGCCTTCCGGGCTCCAGGCGGGGAGGAAGTTGGGCCAAAACTAAGGGAGAAGGGCCTGTTTGGCTACTCTGTGCTGAGATCAGTAACAAAATAACTTGCCATAGTGAGGAGTGTGGGCTGGGAAATAAGAATTATGTTCTTGTAAGACCAAGTAATCTGCAGATTTGGAAAGGTGACAATATTTAAGGATTTGGTTATGTATTCACTAGGTTTAAGTGCAAATACCAAATTATAATTTTGACTCATATCTTCATCATTGATTATCTTTCCCCAAGACCGACCCCTTATCTAGGTTTTCTCTTTCCAATCTCTCTGCCTCCCTGATTCATTCTCCCCCAAATCAATGTCCCGAATACATTTTTTTACTCTATGCATTAATTACATGATAATAGAAGTCATAAAATTAACAGATAGCAGAGCTGTTTTTAATGTTTTATGTTGTCAATAGTGTTATACATTATCATAAACTAGTAATCTCAGATGATATTCATATTAATGGCATGTATCAATATTATATCTTATGTCACACCTCTATAAAAAACAATCAGAGAGTGAGTGAGTTGAAGCATTGTTATGTTGCATTAGTTACATTTCCAGAAAGACTTGGAAATTTTTTTCTTGCAGAAGGGTAAAGTTTCTTTTAGAATACAAAAGAGACTTTGTTCAGAATGAAAGATCATGACAGCCCTAACGAGAAAGTGCTGAGGAAGGTAGGAACGAACGACTTAGGGGCCCAGAATAGGAAAGTACAGGAGAGAGGGTGTAATAGCTTCCATTTGAGATTTGCCACATGCACAGTCTTTCAGCCCACAAACTCTCTACATCATTTCTTTCCTTCCTTAGAAACTTGGTCAAAAGATTGGGCCACCGTGTCATTTGGACCCAAGTCCTGCTATGTCTGTAACCACATGGACACACACATGTGGCACACTGGGCTCCTGGACTGGCTAAGAGAGAAGAACTTTTAAAAAATTAGTTTATTTATTTTTCTATTACAGTTTGCACTCAACACTATTTTTTAAAAACATTTTAAAAATTTCTATTACAGTTTGCACTCAACACTATTTTTTAAAACATTTAAAAAATGATTTTTAGAGAGAGAGGAAGGGAGAGGGATAGAGAGAGAGAAACATCATCCATCAGCTGCCTCCTGCATGCCCCCTACTGGGGATCGGACCCCAAACCGGGTATGTGCCCTGATCAGGAATGGAACCATGACCTCAACGGCTGAGCCACATGAGGCAGGCAAGAGTGAAGGACTTTTAAGGGGTGCTTGAGTTCTGCAGGTAGGCTAGGCTACCAGACTTTGGATCCAGGAAAGGAAGCTTAGCATCAAGCCCTGCTGGAAGTGCCTGAAGATGGTTGATGCACATCTTGTTTTTATCAAGGTTGGCTGAAAAACTGCACCTAAGTCTATGGGTTGGATTCTAAAGTAAATTTAGCTGCCCGGGGATGGAGATGATAGGGGCAGGAGAAATAAAGTAGTAAGGCCTGGATTTATCCTACCTGGAGAGTCAGAGTTACAACTCTGGGATCTGGAAATCTCAGGTAATACTGGGCTGGTGGTAGTAATGATAACGAACATTGAGTACCTTACCGTATGCCAGGCATTGTGATGTCTTTCTTACCTACCTTATTTTATGTATGCCTCCCAACAATCCTATAGCACAGATATTAGGCAGGAGTATGCGGTAAAAGCAATGTAGCCAAGGAAAGAGATGGCGATTGGACCTTATATTTCCTGACCATATTTTAAAACACAGTAAATTTGAGAAAAAATAAATCTTATCATTAACAAAAAAAATGAACACCCCCAATTAATTGATCATCTTTTATAAGAAACACCTAAAATGATGAGTGAGAGACCATATTCAAGTAAAGCAAGAAAAATGGTAGTACTTAAAATAACCAGGGTTGCAGGTTTTCTACTGCTTACGGCGTATAACAAGCCATATAAGACTCACATATATAGGGGAGGCCAGGGGATTGTCAAAGGCGGGGAAGAAAAAAAAAAAGACTCACATATAAGTCTCGGCATGGACATGGGGTCTCTTTCTACCTTCAGAGTTCTTTGGGTGTACGATGTACTTCCCACACTGGCCAGCCCTCTGTCTCAGTCAAATAATTAAGCACCTGGAATGCTTGTTTGGGAGGCTGGCTCTCAGAGTTCATCCCAGGACAGAGTTCCTTGTTACAAATGTGCTTTGGACATTCCTCCTGGGTGTGCCTGCCTCCTCCTTCCCTTCTCCAGTCGGCTCTGATATTTAGACAGAGCTTCAGTAGCTGGGTTATCATTTTCTAAGGCCATTAGGAATAGCTTTACCCTACATTCCCAGGAATATCCTGGGGAGCCCCTAAAATTCCCATTTTAGCTCCAGGCACATGTCTGTCCTAAGCCAAGCCGTGGGCTTTTATGGCGACCTGGAATTAGGAGGTGGTTCCGAAACTCTTAGCTGATTCAGGGGTCATTGTGTGAGGGTCAGGGACTTCCTCCACACTCCCTGCTTTCTCTGGGCATCTTTGGAGTCTCCATCTTGGGTTCACATATCTCTAGGATTCTTAGGCACTCAGCTGGGACAGCTATAGACAGAGGCTTTGAATTTGGACTTTAACTGCCTCCTTGGGTCAGTTAAGGACTCCTGTGAGCCTGGGATTGCCCAGAGCAGAGATTCCCACCCTTGGTACTGCTGACATTTGGGCTGCATAATTCTTTGTTTGGGGGGCCGTCCTAGGATTGTAGAATGTTTAGCAGCATCTCTGGCCCACCAGATGCCAGTAACATCCCCCTATCCCAGTAGCAACCATTAATAATATCTGCCAATATTGCCAAAGGTCCAGCTGGGGGTACAATTGCCCACTATTGAAAACCACTGGCAACTTGGATTCCTAGGGATTTAACACCTTTCTTTATCCCAAACAATTATAGGATGGCCACCGTGTCCTCTCTTCTCATTCCTTGTTCTGACTGGCAGGACAACTTCTGGTCTGCCTCCATGGAACTTCCAGGATGTACAGTGAGCAGCCACCTGAGCATCCTTTCCAAGCTTCTTGGTATTAGTATCTGATGTCTCCATGCCTGTGCTCTGGGGAATCAGGAAAAGTGAGGTTGGGCAACAGAGTCCCTGAGGCTTCAGGCTACTGCGGCCAGAGGCACAGACACTGGATTTAGAAGCCCAGGTGAGCTACGGTGTCTGAGGTCCAGGGGCAGGGGTCCAGCGTCCAGGCCAGCCAGCAGGGGCTGTGGAAGGAGGCTGGAGAGCTTGCTCCCCTCTGAGAGGTGGGCAAGTGTCATCTTGTCCAGTTACGTAGGCCCTGTGGAGGCACCAGATGGGTATTGTCCTTGCCCGGGGCACACATCTTGTTCTGGCTGAGGGCTACTCAGGGTGTCTGAGCAGAAAGAACCACGGAGCTGCAGAGGGGCCAGAGGCTGGGCATAGAGCATTGGGCCCGGAGCACTGGGCATGCCTTCAGGCGTTAAGGGAAGTCGGCAGTGGTTTGAGTCAGTGCTGAGGACACGGCTGGGTTTCTGAGTCCTTCCTGTTTGGGAGCAGTCTTAGATCTATTGGAAGATACCATCAGCCTAGGGCAGTGATGGCGAACCTATGACACGCGTGTCAGAGGTGACACACGAACTCATTTTTTTGGTTGATTTTTCTTTGTTAAATGGCATTTAAATATATAAAATAAATATCAAAAATATAAATCTTTGCTTTACTATGGTTTCAAATATCAAAAAATTTCTATATATGACACGGCACCAGAGTTAAGTTAGGGTTTTTCAAAATGCTGACACGCGTAGCGCAAAAGGTTCGCCATCACTGGCCTAGGGGGCGGGGGAGGGGGGTTCCCTAGGAATCTTTGTTTTCCCCTGGGGTTTCCGTCACTTCAGTTGCAGCTCAGCAATGGGCACCCCTACCTGGGAAAGCATATCCTTCATCCTCGTGCAGCAGCCTCGTGCAGCAGCCTCGTGCAGCATAAGTAAAGTAATTGGGGGTGTTCATTTTTTGTTAATGATAAGATTTATTTTTACTTTACTCCTTCTGTTGTTCGATCTCCAGCTCACTTTTTGCCAGCACCAACACTGGCCTTTGCAGTCCCCCTGACGTTCTTCATTCTGTTCTTGTGTTCCTTTCTCTGTTTTCTTGAGGTCTTCTTCTCATCTATGCCGTGTCTTACAAGTCTATGTTTGGGTTCATTTTTCTTTGTGTAACCCAAGGAATCACAAATCATGCCAAAGCCAGTGACTTTATCTATGGTGACCTTACTGTGTTCAATCTCCTTCTGTTGTTCAAAGACTTTATCAGTGACTTTATCTGTGGTGATTGTGCAGATTTTTCATGAGAGGATTAATAAGCTAAACTTTAATGTGAAAAAAAATCTCTCTAGAAACTATGTGGTACCGTCAGTGCCCTCTGGCTTCACACCTGGTCACCTCCTTAGTGATCTCACTCCCAGTCTGGCTTCTTCTAAATTAGCCTCCACTGTGCAGCCTGTGCGATTTGTTTGAAATGCAGATGTGACTGTATCCTTCTTATGTTTGAAATCTTTCCATGGGTTCCATTGTCTTTAGAGTTATGTTAAGAATGCCTGGGCTGGCCGAAACTGGTTTGGCTCAGTGGATAGAGCGTCGGCTTGCGGACTGAAAGGTCCCAGGTTCGATTCCGGTCAAGGGCAAGGGCATGTACCTGGGTTGCGGGCACATCCCCAGTAGGAGATGTGCAGGAGGCAGCTGATCGATGTTTCTCTCTCATCGATGTTTCTAACTCTCTATCTCTCTCCCTTCCTCTCTGTAAAAAATCAATAAAATATATTTAAAAAAAAT